ACACTCAATGCAATAATGCATACATCTAATAAAAATACTGTCAATAATATAAATACAATCAATAAATACAAATCTATCAATTATCATAATAATAATAAAAATTATAGCTATTTTTCCTATATTCCACACGTGTAAGACAAAGACAGAAAATCAACGCTTCCAATCCCCTTAACAATACATTTGATATAATTCATAAATTAATTAGTAACAAAAAAATCATTTAGAATAATATGAAGCTTGGCAATTTTTATTCCTAATTCTATTTTTGTCAGGAGTTTGTTCTACAGAAAGACTTTTGTGTTTTGATGCATGTTGACACACATAATCCTTCCTATATGCATATCGCTGTTTATTAGGATAAGTCTTATACACAATCCAATTTGTTTTGGTTACTGTAGACAAATGTTGAACCCAATTGTTACATAGCTCACTAAATGTATTATTTTCTTCTAAAGTAAATTTTGTACGAATTAAATAATTATTTGCACTGGCACTAATTACTTTAGAAAAAATATCAAAATTAAAATTAATAATTTCAGACATCTTGACAAGACTCACAATGAGCAGAACTATAGAAAATTAGAAAACAGAACGAACACAAGAAAACTTCAGCTGTAAGTCTGTAAACAAACAACAGGTGAAATAAAAAAATTACAAGTGTGATAACGTATTTAATTGTCACTGGTGTGTCACGCGCATGCGCATTGGGTGATGTGCATACCCGTTTGGCCGAATTCAGTTACGGTCTGTAAATACGCGTCCGGGACGCAATTCGTTCAAAAAGGTTCGTCTACCTGTTTTGGTACGCAATTCGTGTGCACCGATTGCCGTTAACCACAAGATGGTGCCATGAAAATCACCTTTAGCAACATACAAAGCTTTGGGTGATATAGTAATTGGCGTCCGACCATCCCAGGGTACCAAGTGTACACGGCCGCGGTACTACACTACTACGAAGGTATATTTTACTGATATTCACTTTTATGAGCCACCATAAATTGGTGGCTTCCAAAAATTGTCCAATGGCAAATTGGAATTGAGAGTAAATTTATATTTAATGTACTTACTCTCATCTAACGATCACTTACTAAATCGTGGTTTGTTATATTGTTATGTGTTTCTCTCCTCGTTGGAGACTAGTCTTTTTTTACTTTTAATTACGTAAGTTTGGAATGTAAATATTATTGTTTTATGATTCTAAAATATTTTATTTGTTTCTTGCTATTATATTCTATAATTTGTCACTCCGATTTGAAGAAGTTCGTCACGAAAATTATTGTAGAATAACTCAGAATCTTCGTCTAATATTACGTTGGCCATATAAGCCATCTGGCGTGTTTATTTATCATTATATTTTGGTTTTTATTAGGTAGTAGTGTAAACAATAGTGGTTAGTCAATGAAAATCGTTAGATAGCGTCACATTTTTCGTAGCAATAAATTACACTATTTTACTTTTAGAATACTATTCATATAATATTTTCTATTGTATTACATTAATTTATTCAATTGAGTTTTTTTCTATAAGACTATATATCTATGGTAGTCATAGCCCATAGGCGTGCGCACGGATGCAGCGAATACTGCTTTTACAGGCACCTGACAATTAATTTTGGATTTAGTGGGCTGGTTGATATTTATTTGAAAATTGAAAGGACTACACAGAATGAATAATTTTAAAAATATTGAATTTAAAATTAAATTAAATTATTAATATTCAATGTTATACAATATCGTAAAATGTTAATACTATTTTATCAATACGAGAATTCTAAATGTAGGTGAATTTTGTATGAGTTCCCGGTAAGAAAGCCTCACGAAAAAAAAAGTCTCCAAATTAATATTTGATTTGATTTCAGTAGTTTATCATATAGGTATTTATATAGGTGTATAGGCCATAGGTAATACATGTTAGATTTATTTAAAATAATTAACAAACAACTAAATTAAATAGGTACCTTTTTTGGATTAAATATTATTCTCACATATTATGTACCAATTCAACACAAAAAATGTATTAGTTACAAAAAAAAATAAATATACTATAATTAAGGTAGTATAATATAATTAGTATTTTATATTGTAAATTAATTGTTTTTGTTTTGTTTTTTCTGCCTATTTGTAATTTTGGTATTTCTCTTTAGTCTATATCGTTGTTTCATTCTTTAATTTTTTACTTTATATATTGTACTATACTTGAGCCTTCGGGCGTTTACTCAATAAATAAATAAACAAATAAATATACAACAAATATATATATTTATTACCATTTACTTTGCATAAGTCTGTTGATGATAAAATACTATTGCTAATACATTTTGCTATACCACGACTTTGACTACGACCGTGTTAAAGACTTACTGACCACAAATTAGGTATTGGCTATCAGGTATGCAGTCAGAAAAACAAGATTTATAAGAATAATCAAAAATACCTATATCATACATGTACATCTATAGAACACGTTATGACTTAGTTACGAATTAGTTATGAAACTTATAAGCAGTGTTGGGGAAGTTACTTACTAAATTACATTACTAATTACTAATCAAAATTGTAACTAAATTATTTTTAAGTTACTTTTTTTTAATTTGTCAAGTTTCCTTACTTTTGAGTTTTAAAAGTAACTCAATTACGATAGTAGTTACTTTTTTTTTTTAATATCACTGGAGCTTAATACCTATTTAGTATTTTGTCTATTTAACACGTTCAATGCCGATGCCTATTTGTGGTTCCGATACCGCGTCGCCGCAAGGAATTTATGCTCTGTCGACTACGCGTCGACATCGGCCACCGTCGAAACAACATGGTGTGCACATACGTGTTTATCATCTAATATAATTTTAAATGTAGAACCTATACAAATATTTTCTTATAATTTATAAATAATATATTTAACTAATAACATCTAATAATATTTATTAACCGATAATATGCATTATATATACGTATATTAGAATTATAATAATAGTCATAAAAGCCACTCCATTTCTACATCTCGGGAAAAATTGAATTTTATAAATAATATCTTTAAATAAAGATGTCAAATAATATTTATTACTTTATAAGACTACGATATGCAATATATGTTAGTTGTTAGTATTATACAGATAAACGGAACTCCGTCTCCACATTCCGGGAAAAGTTGAAATAACAGATGTATTTTTAAACCAAATATAAAACCAAATACACCATTCAATTAGTAATGTATTGTTATTGTTTTATGTTTAAATGTTGATGAAAATGAATATTAAATAACCAAGAAAAATGATTTTAGTTATTTTGTTTTTAATTTAGAAATATTATTCGTGGGTACTTGAAACTTTTAGTAATATTATAGGCCAGGGATGGAAAGTATGTGGCACGCGTGCCACCTCGGACACTCGAAAAGATTTTGTGGGCACGCGAATATTTTTACTATTATATATTATATAATATATAATATTATAGGACCTTTTTTTTTCGTTTGAAATCGACGACGCCGCGGGAACTGCTTTCTCATTGCTTCCGCGAATATTATAGGACCTATAATAACCTAAACTAACCTTTTTATACTAATACACAATTATACAATCAAATTATAGTATAACAAAATTTAATATTTTTTTCATGGCACCCTCTAAAAAAAAAAAGGTTATTACTTATGTTGGGCAAGTAGTGTTCAAAAGGTTTACCATCCCTGTTATGGGCTGATAGACCGTCTAACCCAACAAGAAGATAACGTTTGCTGAAGCAAAATATTTTTATTTGTTTTGATTTTTGATGTCTAGTTGTACTATGTGTCTATGTATAGTTGTTAACGTGAAACGGCCGCCAATGCTTAAAACGTCCAATATAATAATAATAAATATTATATTATTATAATAGATAATAAAAAAAAAGTGTACATGGCACACCGGGCCAGTCCGCTACTGATAGGTATGTATTTTATGATATTATTGTGATTAAAGTAATTATCTTGGTATTGGGCATTTTAAAACCGATAATTGAAGGGGGTCATTAAATTATTAAACAATATTTTTAAAAAAACTCACATTATTGTTATTAAAATATTCTTTTGATTGCTCAAAATCTAAAAAGTTCATGAGGATCTATCTCCCCGTGGGTAGGCCCCTTACCCCAGTAAACATTTTTACTTAATCTGTTATTACTTATTACTGTTTTTACCTTTGTTTAATTTTTTGTTTTATTTTTATTTGGTTATAATCGCCGTATTGTTTGGCGTTTACCTATTTTTTGTTTTAATATTCATATTCATTACTACAAATTGTGTTGTACTATTTGGCTCATAGCCCGTTCATACATATAAATAAATAAATAAATATTAATAAAAGAAAAATAACACAAGTAAAATTTAATAAAATTCAAATATTTTAAAATAAGCGTATTTATGTAAAAAAAAAAATCAAAATATGAAAAAATATGCAAACTTAAATTTCATTTTTGAACTCATTAGATTGTGAATCAAATTTCTAGATCATCCGGCATTTTTTTGAAACACTCAGTAAAAACCATGCAAATGCATGAACTTCTTGGATCCTACTAATAACTAAACATAGCTAATGACCGACGAACGCTCTTATGTTTATAAAGTTATATATAAATAAATATTAAAGAGAACGACGTTACTATAAAAGTGAAATCCACTATTTAACATTTATTTTGGTAATACAGTAATATAACTAAACATTTAAAACTTTCTTTTTTTTAGAAATTTGTATTGTGTGTTTTGTAAGACAACAATAAATAAATAAGGCACATGGGGGGAGTATTTTTCCCATATCTCCCCTCCGTAATTACGCCCCTGTAAAGCATACTCTAAAAACGTCAAGTATTAATTTTCAAGTTGATTTATACTATAATATAAAATTATAACGTTTTATTTGGAATTGATTTAAAGGATTTTGTTTGATTTATTATTATATTTATTGGAAATCTTGAAGAATTTCATAGTTTACATCTCAATTGAACTTCTCTGCAGGCAAATCGATTTACATAGATTCCTCTGGTTCCGATTCTAAAACTACCGATTGATTATTTTTGTAGAAATTATACCAATTTAGGATATGATGTTGTGCACGGCAAGAAGTCCAAAAGCAAAAGAAAAAATCTGCACACAGTATTGACCAACAAGCGCTAAATGATACAACACGATAAGCCATGTCATATTTTATCTGAAAAATTGTTTTATTTAATTATTTTTTTTTTCAGTTTACATGTTATTATAATTATATTGCTCTTTTTTTTTGGTGCAAGTAATACATTACCCTTAAAACAAAATTAGTAAAATGGTTATTACTATATAATAATTGTAGTTTCTAAAAGACCTAACTGTTAGTCTGGTATGCAATGAGTCTGAAAAACAGCAAGCTGTTTGGAAAAATAATAAGTAGTTCGCAATTGGTTTGCCACATTGCAAACAGTCAAGTATTTTAGCAAAAAGACTAATTTTCTATATGGCCTACGACATATTATATATACTTAATAGTTTATATACAATACCTGTAGGATTGGATCAGCAAGTAACAACGTTAAGGCGAGTTCACAACAAATCGTGTCGTATACCACAATATAGCCACTGTTATCAGTTTTGTTCAAGGGTAGAGGTCTTAATAGTGCGATTTATGATAACTGTCTTTAATCGTGTTTATCAGTAAACGGTTAACCACATATCACGGACTAAGATAGTATGGACTGAAAACGAAAGCCTAATCACTAGGCTTCTTAAGGTTATGAGTAGCTCTGTTCGGGGTGAAATGGGGCAAGTGCTGCTCGCGCTCTATCTATGTTTATAATATATGAGAACCAATATAAATAGTTCCATCCTCCGTAGTAGCGCAAACTAAACAGATAACTGAAAAGTGCAGTAGTTAGAGAAGCCAAATTTAAGAAATACTGTTAACCTTATTTATTGGTCATAATATACATATACATATTCAAAATAGTTTATTATTGGTATATTTATATAACAATTTACATTATCATAACATGTACGTTTTTTTTAGGCCTTTACACAAATAAACTGATACATACATTTATTAAAATAACATTGTTCGAATTGTTAATGAACTTACCTAAGAAATGCTAAACTGACTATAATTTAAAATATGTGTAAGATATTGATATGGTTTGGTTTTGGACTTGGGACCAAAATTAAAAATACCGGGTTTTTAACCAGAAATTTACCGAAACCCTTTCTTATTTTCTTAGGAACCTAATCTGTAACTAGAACCGTTATTTGTTGTAACATAATTTTTCTGGGTTTTTCTATTTTTTTCCGGTTCCAATTATATTTGACTATTTTATATATTTAAGTAATAAATAATAATAGTTTATTCGTTACATTTGTTTGATATTGTAAATGTATACGTGTATTTCTAATTTTATACTTCTATAATCCAATAGTTCCAGAATATTATAAAGTATGAATCCAGTTATCAAAATAAAAATATATGAATAATAAATATTGTATTTAACCGTCGGTTTGTAAAACACGTCGTCATGATTATTTCCCACAATTATTTTCTATTTATAATTTATAAATTGTTTGGGATGACGACGACTGCGACTGGTGGTGTTGATGAATAAAAATACGTATTTACAGTACCTAGAGCAACTCTGGTATTCGTATAAATTGTTATCAGATTGTGAACGATATTGAACAAAATATAATTTATATACATCCATACATACATGTATTACATTTTAAATATAATTTTTGAACAGTCTCTTGTAATAATAAAATAGGGGTAATGTGTGATAACGAATAATGTTTACTTTTTTTAATGTCTAATCTAGATTACAATTTAATAGTAAAATAAACTTCAGACTTTATTATATTATTTTAGACAGAAAATTGTCAAACATGATATTCGTATAACACAAGTCACAATTTTAAATATACCAAGTATAAAAACCCAATAACACAACTATAATTTGATTTTATAATTTAAAATAATATGTGTAATGCTTATTATTTTTCACTAAAAAAAAAATTGAGTCTCTGAATACCGGTATTTACCGGTTACAGAATCGAAACCTTAGTTCTATGATTTTAAAAACCAGGACCAATTTTTTTTTAAAGAACCGAAATGGAACCAAAACCAAAAATGTCATAGAGGTTCCTAACCCTAGTTTGGTTATATTCTATTCTTATTTTTATTTAAATTTTTTATGATGTATTGTAATTTTATAAAAATAGATACAAATGTCGGTAACTATTATTGATAACATATTACAATATATAATATATAAGAAAAGTTGACTCGGAGGAAAAGTTGTAGAAGCTTATTTATGGCAACTATCATATGGTTAAAATTCGTGTTTTGAGATTTTAATCGTAAAATAGCTTTAAAAATATTGCATTTCTAAAGGCACATACATTTTAGTATCGGTGTTTGTATTTCTTCTATAATTTGTGTGGGCGTATTTATGCAGGAATAATAAGTGTTTCATATATTTGTCTTTCGTTTAATACGACGTACATATTATGTACATTATTTGAATTATTAACTATTATTTGCTTTTATTATGTAAATTGATTAGGCTACTGTCTTTTTATAGTTGGTATTACTCGACTTCATCCAGAAATTGTGTTGAAATATATTTTATTTTATTGAACGGTAAGTTCAAGGCCGCTGGTGACTGGTGTATTATTTTCTATTTTCTTATTTTACGTGAATTAAGAGCACATGTTAGTATGTAAAAATATTTTACCAATGTACATTTATTTTCTACTTGTGTTCATATAGGCGGAGTAAACAACAATTTAAACAATTAAAAATAGCAAAATTATAAAAATATATACATAGTGTTGTAGTAAAGATGTTGTTTAAAATTTAATGCAACTATAAAATGTGTAGTGTTTCTTTTAATTACCTGTACATCTGTGTTGAAAATATGCTCTGTAATAGAAAATCCAATATATGAAAATAAGGATATAAATGGTAATGTTATAAGCAACACACATCCATCATAGAACAGTTCATTTACTTCTTCTTTGTTTTCACTACTGAAAAACCATGCTTTAATTGATCCCAGTAATGAATATCTATGACACAATAGGACAATATAATATAATATTAGATTTGAATTTATAAAAATGATAAATTGTGCAATACTGCTGTCTGCAATTATATCGAATATAATTGTTTATCATAATAGATACTAAGGTAGGTATTAACTGTGTACTTATATTATCATTACTTTGTGACCCGCCTGGTTTTATATTCAAATGTACAAATTTCACAAACACTAGAGCTGGCTTGTAGCAGCCATTTTTCCAAACACGTTCTATGAACCTTGGATATACTTCCCCGACAAAAGCAGGGAGAAATGCATTTATTTGTTTCGTCGAAATCAGACTGTAAACATATTCTACAAACGCTGGGCGCTGCTAAATACATAGAGAAGTTAACACTGAAATAAAAATAATTACTTAATTTTCAGGTATACATTTACTTAAAATCTCAGAGTCAATGAGTTCACATGATGTAGATACTGACATATCTGGTGCTAATTGATTATCCAAAGATTTATTAAGAAGTTTTTCATTTATCGGTGAACTTAATTCGTTTTGTCTGGCATTAGAATATGATTCTTGATTTACTATATCGTGTGTATCTGAAAATTTCTGAAGTATATGAATTTATATAATTTAACTTACAAAAGAAAACATGAATAATACCTGGGATTAAAATATGTACTATGGCTTCTGTCATTTTTCTGCTCAAATTTGTTATTTTTTTTTTTTAAATTTTAGTAGCAATGATTAATTTAATCACAATTAATTTATTTACTTTAACTTATATCCGATTTTCGTCATAGAAACTTCATATTATTTTGAATTATAAACAGGTGTTCAAAATATAGGACGCAAAATGAATACATGTAGAGTTGATATTTTTATGAGCTTCCATTGAGAAAACAATTAATTTTGTTTAAAACTATAAAATAGATATTCTAATATTCAACAAATGTTGAGGCGAAAATTTTCGAGGTATTAACATGAGAGTAAAAAAAATGAATTTTGTTTTCGTGTGTTTTAATTTATACATTATGTTACATCATGAGTGAGTATCACACTGATGATCGTAAAAAATCGAGTATATGCTCATCTAAATTTCGAAATAAATCTAGTAGAAAATATTAGTTACAATAAAGATAAAAATTAATTAAATAATAATAAAAGTAAATTATGTTGTTTTTGAGTGGAAATAGGGGACATTTGAATTTATCCTCAGAGCATGCCTGACAGCGCTGGATCAAGGGGGGGGGGGGGCTATAACTGATCAAGTTAAAAGGGGCCACAATGTGTCAACTCATTTTTATAGCTTATAAATTTTAAATTGATGTCATATGAAAATGGACTATGGACTTCTCGCAAATCGTTATCCTCGTTATCGAACTAGTTTTCGGCCGAGCCGTCGACGTGATAAATATAATCGGTTAAATCTATTTTGGAACCGAGTATATTACACGTACTTTCGCAGACCGCAGGTGCAACTGATTATGGTAGCTTAGACGATGCTCTCTTGAGATTTCCGACTGTTTATTATCGTATAATATGTAATATGTGAAGCTCCTTTTAAAATGTTATACATTTATTGAATTTATCTATTAAGTGTGATTTAATAATCATGTCTTTCCGAAAACATGAATCTGGTGCTTCCAAACGAAAAGCCCTGAAAATTAGAAATGAGTACGAAGCCGAAATTCCTGAATTGTCAAATGTTTTCAACCGATTGAAAATCCTGCGTTGGAGCCAAAAATAAGTGAAATCGTCTGCGAAATTTATACAAACACTGATAAAGTAAATTTAACATAATTAAATTAAAATATTTATTTTAAATATTAATACTATTTAATATCATATAAATAGAAAATATTGACGGAGTTGGAAATAAATACAGATCCTGCATTGTGGCTGGAAATGAGTGAAACCGGCCAAGAAAATGTATAAAATTAGAAACTGGCATATTTCCAATAAAAACAACGGGTTTGCAGCTTCTTTACGAGATTATAAAAAACCAAAAAAAGGTATTGTTCTTGTAATTTTTCTTACGAACTTTGGTGAATGGAGAGATACACGAACGATTATGATTGATGTACTCTGAAGCAACAGGGATCGTATTTTGTTTTGTCTGTATTTATTTACTTATTTATTACAAAAATATACGTGTTGCCCCTATAACATTAAGATGTACAGTACAATGTATTAGAATAGTAGACAATTGAGAAATATAAAATATTATATGTAAATAACAGAATTACAATTTATTTAACAGTTATTAGTAAGCAATAAAACGCATATATTAAACTTAAGAGTTATTAACATTGGTTAAGAACATAAGAACAAATTATCATCAAAAGAGGGGTCCTCATTTGCAAGTGACATGATTTGTCTTAAAGGCTCATTTTGCAGATAATTTGTGTTTGCGTTAGGAATATTTAATGTCACATGAGAACGAGATACATGCGAAGGGACTTTGAAGTTAACTTGGGAAAGCAAGCAAGGGGAATCAATATGGTTAGTAATTAGACCACGAATAAATTTTATATTTTGAGTTCTTCTTCGTTCAGCAAGAGTAGGCAGGTCAAGTACGTTTGCGATATTGGTATAGTCGTGAGTTAAGTGGGGAATGCCTAACACAAAACAACAAAATCTCAAAAATCTATGTTGAACACGTTCGAGTTGATTAATATCAGAGACAGTGTACGGATCCCAAACAACCTATTTGTACTCTAAAATATTACGAACTAAAGCACAATATAATGATTTTAATGATTTTGACAATTTAAAGTCTTTAGATAGACGCATAATGAACCCTAAAACTTTAAATGCTCTGCTAGTAATCATCGCAATATGAGGACTTGGGCTAAGGTTTCTAGCTAGTTTAAAACCCAGGTCGATTAGATTATCAACGAGTGCAATTGTCAAACCAGAGATATTGTAGTCAAAAGGGATAGTAGAACGGGAACGAGTAAACGTCATGACTCGGCATTTTGAAGCATTGACTTTAAGGCCTATATTAAAACACCAACTAACAAAACAATCAAGGCTACTTTGGAGATTCACACAATCAGCAGCTGAGTTGATTTCCATAAAGAGCTTCATATCATCTGCGAAACACAAAAGTATGTTTGCGTGAATTCAGTCCAAGTCAGTGTATCGGATTAAATGGAACTGAAAACATATAGGTTTAAACGTCGGGTTTAGTTACAGCTGTACAATCAGTATAACTCAATAGCTACAAATATCAACGATAAAAAATATTAATTTATTAATCATTGACGGATTTTAAAAAAAGTATACGAAAACTGATAACGGGAGTGTGATAACAAACACGGGAAATTTGAGAAGTATCGGAAAAAAATGCAATAAAACCGGGCGGCCGTACTATAGAACGGGCCACCGCAATTCGGCGCTGCCGCCGTATCGAAACCTACACCGCGGGAACTGTGACCTAACGCCTAACACAACCTACCTACGATTTGAGATACCGATTGTTGTCAAATCTACCACACTTAAGCTGTTTTTCCGCAATANTAAATATAAGAATCTTAAGAATAATTTATAACAATTACCTATTATGATATTTTTGTGGAAAATAATACAAAATAACAAAAATTACTTGAAAAAATAATCATGCATTTTTCATTCTTATAATACCTGTTTATATGCAGACATTTCATAATTAAGCCATCCAATTTCAACATATCTCTCTGTCGATCTATTTTTCAAGACTAAGCTATATTTAAGAAATAATATATACTTTTTAAAAATATTCATTAAAAAAACTTGACATATTAAATAATAAACTTACCTTTTATTTGGACTTTCTGTTTTTGACTCATCAATATTATTATTTTTTTTTACCTTAGACATCAATTTATCAAAAAGAGCACTTTTTCTTTTTGATGAATTGGCTTGTTTTGAATAATTTAATAATGCTAAACGGTCACCATATTTAGGTAAGTACATTTTTAAAGTGGTATCTTCAGTAGACATTGTTTTCAGAACATCAATATCAATCTTAAATACAATTTTTCAATTAAATTTACTTATTAATTAGAGGCTACTGTGATTATCTAAGAACAAAAAATTTGTATATTATACAAATTAGAAACATAAAGATGACATTAGAGAAGATCAAATTAAGTAGAGATGGAAGAGAAGGATGTGTAATTATAGGGTAATTATGAATGAAAATTTGAGGCACGCACAGGATAATCATTTTAAAAAGTTTAAGTTAAGTTAGCCAATATTGTAGAAGAAAAATATATTTTTTTGTACTACTCAATCTTTATATTTAAATCAATTACAGGTAACATAACGTGTTTGTCTATAGAACTTAAAAATAGTTATTACTTTGTTTTAGACACGTTAAAGCGGGGGATGTAGCAAAATTACAAAATTTCTAAAAAAATAACTGTAATTGCACAATAGTTGTACCTATCATTAGTAAAATTATCATAGCAAAAAAAAACAAATATGTAAACTGAAATACAACAAAAACGCCAATATTGCACTCCTTGATACTCTGTAGTATAATATATTTTTAATTTTTACCAATATTCTGAGGTTTACCCGAGAACATCATCATCACACAGTATTGGTGTATGTTGGGCCTTAAGGTGGGTTTATACTAATAGCACAGAATAGATATATTATGTGGTATTGGTTTCATTTGCACACAATAGGTAGGTAAACAAATATTTCAACATAAATTTGATACCTATTATGTACAAATGACTTATACAATTTTGTAGCTGCCTAAAAATAGTGTTTAGACACTTAAGCAGTTTGATAACTGAATGTGTAAACCATGACTGTAGCATAAAATAACTGTGGCTGTGGTGTAAATACATTATAATCACATTTACTCCTTACTAAAAAAAAACATCTTTACGGCTTGATAAAAAAATTAAAAAATGAGAAATCATCAATTTGTAACAATTGTAACCAACTACACTCGTCGTTCTTCTTTCTCTCACGTACTCTAGGTGCACATCGCTCTAAGTAATATTATAAAGATATATTAAACGTTTAATACAAGCAATTCTTACCTTTTGAGCTTCCATTTCACGAGCTATGTAGTCGGCATCTTCAATGGATCTCTGTATTAAAAACTCTTTAATAGTAGACGACATGGTTTCAGTTTTTTTTTAAAGATTGATGAATAATGACAAACTAAAGGCTAATGGCTATACACTCACACTGCAGTATTGGCGGTAAAAATGGTAAAATTCTATTGTCTCAAACTCTTGTAAGCAGGTAATATGTGTTCATCGCCAACAGTGGAATTAATGTGTGCTATAAATAAATAATAATTCAATATTTTGGAAGATAATATGGGCGAATGATTATCTATATTTTTGGCGTGCAATTTAAAATTCACAAAATAATATTATTAATCAATGAAAACACTTCTAAGTAGTTTATATTTTTAGTTATTATATATTTGTGTAATTTATAGGTCCATGGTAAATCCATACGATACCATAGTAGATTATAGTAGATTATTTATTCGACGATTTTTTTCGGATTATGTTTTGGAAACGTATATTGAACCGGGTTGTTTATTTCCACCTATTTTATGGGCTAAAACACCATCATAAAATCCTAGGTAAATATTTACTAATAATAGTTTTAAAAAAAATGTGTTAACTATAATATTATATTATTTATTTTTAGGACTACAAACGGGGCTGAAAGTTTCCATAGTACATATAATGCACAGTTTAATAGTGCTCATCCACCAATATTTGTCGTTATAGCTACCCTTAAGGAAACTCTGGCAGAAACAGTTACCAAATTATTAACCATTTCCAAAGGTATAGTAAAACCAAAATCGAATGAAGAATCAAGGAAAATTGAAAATTTGAAAAATGAACACAAACATTATGTCAACAGACAACAATAAAACACCAGAAAATTTACTAAAGTATTTGGCCATAGTTGGAAATAGGTATCGGGGGTTTAAAATTTAATTTAAATATTGATTTACGAGTATTTTATTTTTTCAATTATTAAATTTCTTTATTTTGTATTATTTTTTTTTTAACTTTTATTAACTTTTTGTATTTTTATTATTTACGTAATACATTTGGCAACGTTGCACCCAATTTCACGCGCAATCGTACGCCTTTGAGTAATTAAAATGTTGTCTTTTGTAGTTTTGTTATTCTGGCACTGCGCGCAATCGTATAACTAAAAAGGTAAAACGCGCGCAATCGTACTCCGCCGCTACTTTCTACTAATAATACAGTAGAATCCGCTTATTGTGGGCACCGGTTAATATGGGCATCCGCTTATTGTGGGCAAACAGAGCTGGTCCCAATACAAATGTATATTAACAATGTTAAATCTAACCGCATAATATGGGCACTCGATTCGGTTTATGTGGGCAATTTTATTTTATCATAGCGTTAGAATATACACAAATTTAATCGCATTTCGTCATATCTATGAGATTGTGTTTATCGAAAGTAATAAAAATCATTATGCCATTTAAACCGTAATGGGATTTTGATGTGTGTAAATGTTGTCATTCAAAAAAGTAAAAAACTTAAAAAATTATAAGGATGAAAAATGTTTAAAAATATAATTTGTAAACAATTTTAAAGTATGGAAAAACATATTTTCAAAAACATTTACACTTTTTCAAATAATGAGTATTCAATGATAAAAAAATCACCCTGTATTATATTTAATTTAATTTATATAGTAATTATTTCACTTTTTTTCAATTGCATATATGATAATAAAAATAAAAAAAATTTTGTATTATAATTTTTTTTTTTACTAATTTCGGTTTTTATGGGCAACCGCTTAATGTGGGAAAACAGGGCTGGTCCCAACGTGCCCACATTAAGCGGAATCCACTGTATATGCATTAAACATTTTATGTCAATGAATTATTGGGGTGCTCTGTCCCTCACAACAGTCACAACCCCCAATTCACTCAAGTTTTACTTATTTTTAAATTATTAGTATGACATAGTTATTTTGAATCGTGGATATTTCGCCCCAGTCAAATAAACCAGCGACGGACGTTTTGTCCCCGCCAATTATTAAGATATGACATTTCGTCCCGGATTAGCTAAAATTTGTATTAAATAAAAAATTTTAAAATATGCATTTAAGTTTTTAAAAGATACACAAAAATTACTAGTTGACTAATTGAAATACATCAGTGATTAAGCTGATTGTCTTAATATAATATTAATATTATATATTATATATAATTCAGATTTAATACTTTAATAGTAGAAAAGACGTTTATTTTAAAATTTTTCGATTTTCCAATAATCATTTGATAGGCGTACGTAGTATATTAAACCATAATAGATTTGTATTTATAAAAATAATATTTATGTTTGATCAAAAAACCAATTAATATAGGTACTTTGATCAGTTTCATTATTATCAGCTTATAAATACAATAAAATAAATACGATCATACTAAAATATTAGGCAAAAATATGCATAAAGCTCATTGTATGCAAAAACATGTAAAATATAAATCGCGGAAATTACTCACTAAAACTACATTTGGACAGAAAATGAAGCACGTAACAAAAAAAAAAAAAGCTGTTGCATACAAATCCTAACCCTGATAATAACTAATAATATGACAAAACAATTCAAAGCATACAGTATACGTCCAAAATTACGCTGCTATAATAATAATATTTTTTTGTAAATATTACATTTGAAATCACCGCTAAAAAAAACAAACAACTCGAATAGGTATAGAATTTATGACAACCAGAGTTTATTTGGTTTATTATTGTTCATAGTAATTTCTTATCTTTGTGTAATCGGGAAAGATATATAACAGTATAAACAACTTAACCAAAATATTTAAAAACTTTTACGCAAAAATGTCGAGTTGCTAAATCGAAATTTCGAGTTGNTGGCGATACCTTTATCATTATTTATAATTATCTATGATGACCACGGTCTTATGAGATAATAGAATTGATTAAAATATTATAATATCATATTAATTATTTAATGATAATAGTAAAGAAAAATCAATACTGATTACTGATAAAAAACTTTAAAACTTGTGAAATAAAATACTAAACCATGTGGCCATGCAGCATAGC